CTCGATTGCCACAGATTTCAAGCAGTGCCAAAAACAACGTACGCCTAGGCCGGCCCACTCGAATTAAATAAATAATAATTATTTATTGTTTCCCGCCGGCGGCGGGCGGGACGTGTACTACACCTCCTGAGAATTTGCCGCGCGCGCGCGCGCACGCGGGTCTAGCGCGGGCTGAAAGTCAACTTTTCGCGAAAAACGATCCTCACGCCCGAGTGTCTCAAAATGTACGAAGGTACCGCACTCACAACGCCAGTCTCGGCGAAATGACCCCACTTTCAAGCGGTTTACGACCCCCTAACTTCAACTTGTATGTTGAGCTTGGCAACTTTTTGTGTTGAACTTCAAGATACAAACCCCCAGGCCTTTCGTTTCAAGGGTTTGTTTTTGGCACTGATTTCAAGCTTGAGGTTCACATTGAAGGCAACTCGCTCGGGACAAAAACACGATCGCGCCCACGTTAGCTCGTCACGCGGAACTCCGCGCGCGTGGGCTTGTGGTCGGACGTGGAGACCTCGGGCGCGGCGGCGTAGTCCGCGAGGTCGAGCGCGCCGGCGAAGAGGACGCGGTCCGTGAAGGCCGGGAGCCGCTTCTCGACGTAGTCGACGCCGGCCCTGCGCCGGACCTTGAAGGTCGGCGAGAAGGCCGGCGGCGCGTCGCGCCAGCCCCGCGCGAGGATGCGCGGCGGCACGCCCGCGGCCGCCGGCGCCGGCGCCCGCGCGGCGACGTCGTCGAGCACGCGCCGCAGCTCGTCGAAGGGCCGGAGCGCCGCGGCGTCGTGCGCGTAATCCGCGATGGCCCGCCAGTCCGCCGCCGAGTACTTGACCGACCTGGGCCTCCCGCCCGGCGCCGGCGGCCCGCCGAGCGCGACGTCCGCGGCCGCGGCGACGGCGTCCGCGCCGAGCCGCGGGTCGAGGCGGAAGTTGAGGTCCCCGAAGAAGCACGCCGCGTCCGCGCCGTTGAACAGGCCCCCCTCGGCCGCGAGGCGCGCGCCGAGCGTGCCCAGCGCCTCGACGCGCCGGAGCAACTTCCCCTCGTGCGCGGGCAGGTGCGCGACGGCGACCGCCAGCTCGAAGACGGCGCCCCCGTCGCAAAAGTCGACGGCGACGCGCGCCGAGAGCGACCCCTTGAAGACGGCCGTCGGGTCCCGGTCGAGGTGCCCGAGGTTCGCGTAGTCGACTTTTGCCGCCCCGACGAGCCGCGTCGCCTCGCACCGGGCGACGTAGACGAGCAGGCACAGGCCCACGCGCCCCGCCGACGTCCTGTCGAGGTCGACGCGCGCGTGGTCTTTGAGGTGCGCGTCCACCGACTCCTCGAGCGCGCCGACCGAGCCCGCCTCCTGCGCGCCGACGACCACGAGGGACGCCGGCGCGCCGTCTCGAGTCGCGCCGCCCCGGAGCCAGTGGTGGAGCTCGTCGCCGTCGACGTTCGCGCCGCCCATGTTCATCGTCGCGACCATGAGCGTCCGCGCGGCGTTCCGGGACACCCTCGGTTCGGACCGCGGCCGCGGCGTCGGCGCGGGCGCCGCGACGACGAGCTCGAGGACCACGTCCACGACGTCGGCGCCCGCGAGGTCCTCGACGTCGACGCGCCGGCCGCCGACCTCGAGGAAGGGCCGGCCCGCGGGCAGCGACCCGTCGAAGGCGCCGTCGTCGCGTTCCACCGCCTCGAGCCCGGCCTCGAGCACGACGTCCGCGTCGACGCCCGCGGCGCCCTCGACCGTCGCCAGGCGGCAGCGCCGCACGAGGCGCGTGTTCTCCGTGGTCACGTTGACCTGGATCACGCCCGAGTAGGGCCGCCTGGGCAGGACAAGAGTGCGAAATTCCCAACTTCAAAGGCTCCTCTCTCGGCCGGTTTCCACTCGTTTCGGCTGATTTTTGGACGAGCGATCATCTCTCGGAACGGTCTCGAAGCGTGGATGCTTTTTCCAGAACGCGCGCGCGCGGAACACTCACGTTGAAGCGACGTTGAATCACTCTTGTGCTGCCCTGAGGGCCGCCGCGCGAGCTTGCCGGATTTCGCGGCGTCGCCCCAGCGCACCTCGAAGGGCACTCCCTCCAGCGCGACGGCGCCGCCGGCCGGCGCCGCGGCGAAGGCGCGCGCGATGCGGTCGTTCGCCGCGGCGTCGTAGCCCTCCCAGAGGTGCTTCGCCGTGCAGTAGTGCTCGAAGCGGTAGCGCGCGTTCGTCACCTTGAGCGCCGGCGGCTTGGAGCTCACGCTCAGGCTCCGCCGCATGTCGTCGCGCAGGCCCGCGAGCTTGTTCAGCGTCGACGACCAGGCGGCCATGGCGGGAGCGTCGGAGCAGGGTGGAAGCCTCACGCGGCGGGGAGCATTGTTGCCCGTCTTGCCCCAGTCTTCAAGATGCCCTGCATCTTCTCCTTGCGCCGGCGCTTAGCCGTTACTTAGGCGTCACCACGCGGGCCCGAGCGCGGCGGCCGCGGCGACGAGCGCGGCGGCGGCGGCCGTGCCGTTGCGCGCGAGGATCGCGGGCATGCCCAGGGGCGCGGGCAGCTCGACGGCGGCGCCCGGCGCGAGCGGGGTCTCCGGGTCCCAGACGCGCACCCAGGCGCCCGGCCCCGCGCAGGGCGGCGGGACGGTCGCGTTGACGGTTTTCGCGCCCGCGGCGAGGACGGGGACGACGAGGACGTCGTCGCCGAGCATGAGCTGCGCGCCGCCGAGCGCGTCGAAGCGGTCCGACGGCAGCGCGTCCGTCGCGCACGCGTGGTAGGCGTGGCGGACGACGGGCGGTCCCCCCCGGGCCGCGGCGGCGAGTAGCGCGCGCTTGTAGCCGCGGAGCGCGACGTGGATCGCGACCGCGCGGCGCGTCGCGGCGAGGTTGGATCCGTCGGACCAGGGCTGGGGCACGCGGTCGTTGCCGTTCGACGGGTGGGATCGGAGCACGGGGTCGACGACGGCGCTGAGCTCGAGCCAGCGCGCGAGGAGCTCGTCCGTGCGCTCGCAGAGCCAGGCCGTCTCGCAGAAGATCATGCCGCCGACGTCGCTGTGCTGCGTCCAGCCCGCGAGGCCCGAGGACACGTAGGTCCGCGGCAGCGAGGCGAAGCCGTCGTTCTTCTGCCAGCTCTGCTCCTGGTCGCCGGCCCAGAAGAGGCCCGCGCTCTCGAGCGTCCGCGGCGCGCCCGACCGGTGGAAGACGAGCGCGTCGCTCCCGACCGCGGCGGACCGCGTGAGCCGCGCCCAGTCGTCGGGCATCTGGTTGTGGTAGGCCAGCGGGTCCGCGCCGGAGTGCAGGTGGGCGCCGACGAGGGGCAGGTGCTCGCCAAAGTCCGCCATGAAGCCCGCGACGGCCGTCGCGTTCGGCGGCGGCGGCGGCAAGGGGCTCGCCGGGTCGCACGCGTCCCGGCGGCCCAGCACCTGGCAGGCGAGGATGCCGCGGAACCAGGCCGCCGCGGCCGGGTTCGTGAAGTCGACCGTCGCCGCGGTCGACAGGACCTCCTCGCGCGCGAGGAGCGGTTTTCCGTCGTCGCCCGCGACGAGGTAGCCGCGGTCGCGCGCGTGGGCGTAGAGCGACGTCCGGTTCGCGCGGCAGGGTTGGCCGTCCACGGCCGCGGTCGTCAGGAACGGCGACGCGTAGGTCAGCACGCGGATCGACGCCGCGGCGAGCTCGTCGACGAGGCCGCGCCAGTCCGGGTAGAGGCAGCCGTCGGGCTGCCAGTCGAAGAGCACGCGGCCGCCCCCGTTGTCCGCGCTTTGGCCGCTCCAGTCCTGGAGCCACACCGCCGCGACGGCCACGCCCGCGCCGCGGAGCGCGGCGACGTTCCTCCGGACCGCGGCCGAGCCGCCCATCATGCCCGCGACGAGCCCGCCCGTCGCCCAGGCGGGCACGTCCGGGGCGTCCCCGCCGGCCATGGCCCGCGCCTCGCGCTGGAGCGCCGCCCAGGTCGCGCGCTCGGGCGTCGCGACCGCGAGCGCCGCGGGCCGGAACGGGGTGTCGCCGTCGCCGCACGCGCCGAGCGCGGCGACGGCCGTCGCGGTCGCCGTCGACTCGACGCGGAGCGCGCGCGTGTCGTTGAGCAGGAAGGCGGACCCCCGCGACGACAGCCAGAGCGGCACCGCGCTGTAGGTCGTGAGCGGGCTCCCGGCCGCGCCCGCCGCGCCGGCGCCGACGAGCGCCGAGATGGGCTCGTCGCCGCGGCCGATGCCGTTCTCCTGGGACACGACGTCGAAGGAGCTGTTCTTGAGGTCGAGCTTGGACGGCTGGTTCCCGAAGCCGACGAGCATCTCGTCCGGCGCCGAGGCCGTCGTCAGCGCGAGGCGGCCGACGACGGCCCGCGACGGCGCGGCCGCGGCCGACGGCGCGAGCGACGCGACGGCGCTGAGGCGGCCCGCGGCGTCCACGCTCAGCGCGACGGCGCCGCCGAGGCAGGAGGACGGCGCGGCGGCGGCGTCCCAGTAGTCGACGCTCGCGCACGAGACGACCTCGCAGTGCGCGCTCCGGCGCGACTCGCAGAACGCGCCGGAGGCCTCGGCGCCCGCCGCCGTGGTGCGGAGCGTGAGGTTACCGAGCGGCGCGTCGAGGTCGGCGGTGAATTTTGCTGCGGTGAAGCCGATGGGGTTAGGGAGCGTCGTGGGTCCGCCGCCGGAGAGGTAGCCCTACAAGCAACCATTGTTTCTATTTTTTTGTTGTTATTGGCTTTACCACGGAGAACGTCACGGCGAGCGCCTCGAGGCCGGGCACGCCGCGGCGCCGCGCGGTGATGGTGTCGCCGTCGAGGGAGACGCGCCAGCCCTGGCCGAGGTCCAGAGCCGAGGCGGCGGCCGCGACGACGACGACGACGAGGGGCAGCCTCATCGCTTCGCAACTTGACGGCAACTTGAGGTTATCGTGTGAGCCTCATT